TTACTACACAGCGAAATCCAGTAAAGAAAAAAAATCCGTCCTGGAATCCCATCTGGGCCCATAGCCTTGCGTTGGTTCACTCTCTGTAGAGTCCTTTTTACCTCAGTTGTTGTGAGGGACAGCACATTGTCGTCTGCTAGTGAGATTATTTTCGTGACTCTGGTGCTGTTGGATTCCTCAAAACGAGCAAAAAAAATTGTTCAATGCATGAGGGAAAAAGGGATCATTAACAGAAGCATTGTTTTTGATCTTGTAGTCGGTAAGGTCCTTTAACCCTTTCCATATCTGCTGGGGGTCATAAGTCTCCAGGTGTTCCTGGATCCTGTGGGAGTATGTGGCATTGGCTCTTTTTATTCCAGCAGGGAGATTGTTCCTTGCTTCCTTCAATGCTGCTTTGTCACCTTCCCTGAAAGCAGCATCTCGTAGTTTGAGGAGAGAGCAGACCTCTGCATTAAACCAAGGTTTCCGGTTTGGGGGAAGTGTTATTTTTCTGGAAGGAGCAACATCGTCAACACATTTGTTGATGTAACAGATGAAGCATATTCTTCAATACCTATCACACCGTCAGATGTGGCAGCTTCTTTGAACAAGTACCAATTGGTGCAGTCAAAACAGTCCTCCAGGGCTGATATTGATCCCTCTTCTGAACAGTTTTTTTTTACAGTCTTTTATAGTTAGTTACAATCATTTTTACAGTATGTTAAAGAATTGCAGTGAAGTACCGTAAAACTTCAAATAATAGCCGAGTCCCAAATAGACGCCTGTCTCTTTTACACGCCTGGTGTGGCTACAGGTTTGGGTAAATAAAGGCCGGTCTCAAATAGAGGCCGGGTCTGTTTTTTAGTTTCGGGTTGAATTTAATCTTCTAAAACCGTCAGATCGTCCGCTTTTTTGCGGCCGCCAATGCAAATGTTTGTCCCGCCAAAGCCTTTTTTTGATCGGTGAGTGATGTAGAATAGAATGACTGGTGAGCTTGACAGGGCGCGTTACGAGCAGAGAGAGCGCTCCGGCCGCGCGCGCGCACTCTCACGTCTTCAAACAACACGAGCGCTGTCTTGGTCTCTCTCTCCCTTGCGCATATTAATCAAAATCAGTTGACGCGATAGTAAAAGGTCGGAAGTTTCACGTGGAGCATTTGGGGATTTTTAGAGATTAGAGACTCTAGGCCTACACTCAATGAACAACATCTCAACACTAAATTATAAAGGCCTGTCTCATATAGACGCCTGTCTCAAATACAAGCCAGTGCAGTTCGACGATTTGGGAAAATAAAACCCCAGGCTACTATTTGAAGTTTTACGGTAAGAGCCAGTTAAGGGGCAGTTTACACAGAACGCATTTCTGTGTGAAGTTGTGAACCGGCCCTTACTTCACTAGACGATACTATACACTCACCTAAAGGATTATTAGGAACACCTGTTCAATTTCTCATTAATGCAATTATCTAATCAACCAATCACATGGCAGTTGCTTCAATGCATTTAGGGGTGTGGTCCTGGTCAAGACAATCTCCTGAACTCCAAACTGAATGTCAGAATGGAAAAGAAAGGTGATTTAAGCAATTTTGAGCGTGGCATGGTTGTTGGTGTCAGACGGGCTGGTCTGAGTATTTCGCAATCTGCTCAGTTACTGGGATTTTCACGCACAACCATTTCTAGGGTTTACAAAGAATGGTGTGAAAAGGGAAAAACATCCAGTATGCGGCAGTCCTGTGGGCGAAAATGCCTTGTTGATGCTAGAGGTCAGAGGAGAATGGGCCGACTGATTCAAGCTGATAGAAGAGCAACTTTGACTGAAATAACCACTCGTTACAACCGAGGTATGCAGCAAAGCATTTGTGAAGCCACAACACGCACAACCTTGAGGTGGATGGGCTACAACAGCAGAAGACCACTCATCTCCACTAAAAATAGGAAAAAGAGGCTACAATTTGCAAGAGCTCACCAAAATTGGACAGTTGAAGACTGGAAAAATGTTGCCTGGTCTGATGAGTCTCGATTTCTGTTGAGACATTCAGATGGTAGAGTCAGAATTTGGCGTAAACAGAATGAGAACATGGATCCATCATGCCTTGTTACCACTGTGCAGGCTGGTGGTGGTGGTGTAATGACCATGTCCATCCCTTTATGGCCACCATGTACCCATCCTCTGATGGCTACTTCCAGCAGGATAATGCACCATGTCACAAAGCTCGAATCATTTCAAATTGGTTTCAATAGATGCAATAGAGCATCTTTGGGATGTGGTGGAACGGCAGTTTCGTGCTCTGGATGTGCATCCCACAAATCTCCATCAACTGCAAGATGCTATCCTATCAATATGGGCCAACATTTCTAAAGAATGCTTTCAGCACCTTGTTGAATCAATGCCACGTAGAATTAAGGCAGTTCTGAAGGCGAAAGGGGGTCAAACACAGTATGGTGTTCCTAATAATCCTTTAGGTGAGTGTATATATACAGAGATTTTGCCATATTTTGAGATAAATGCCATCATTAAACATAATTAAGTTTGTCTATTCAGTCTCAGGACACAGTGGTAAGACAACATCCAATATAGGTCCCAGAAACACCTTAGATGACCCTCTTTGACCACCCTGATCTCAACTTTACTTACTCTCCCAGCTCTCCTGGAAAATGTCTTCAAAACCATTCCCATGTGCCAGTCATTCCTTTTGGCTTGAATGTTTTCAATATCACAACATCTCCCATTTGGAGATTGGAGCTTCCATTCTGCCATTATCGATGGCTTTGTAAGGTTGTGAGATATTCTTTTCTCCGGCAATGCCAATACGGCCAAGGTTTGGACTTGCCTCCACTGACAACCTAAGAGGTCCTTTTAAAACAAATTTGCCTGGTGGAGAAGGAACTTCAGGAGTTTTTTGTTGAATGAGTAGAGATGCTGGGGATCAGAATGAATGGAGAGTCTGGATTTGTTGACACAGGTACCAGGGGATGAGCATTGACTGGCTGTGGCTTCAGCCATGAAGGTGGTCAAAACTTCATGAGACAACTTTGATGGTCCAAGTCCTTGTAGCATAGATTCTACTATTCATAGATTCATAGGATCTGATCATACGTTCCTAACTGTGGGGAGGGTTGAACACCCAAGAGCATCCATTGTCTCTCAGATACTCTTGTACCTTTCTGTCTTCTGTTACCCCTTTTCCACCAAAAACGAACTGGTTCGGAACTGGTGCTGGTTCAAAGTTGGTTCGGAGTTGGTTCAACTTGCGAACCTTCTCAGAACCTGTTTGTTTTTCCACTGACTAGAGCGCCCAGCGAACGACGTCGTTACGTCACTGTGTACGTCGCCATACATCTTAGCTTGAAACGCTTGCAAGTACAACATTACTTTGGGATTATCTCTAACTCATGAACCAAGAAGGCTTTAAAAACAATTGAAATATGTAAGACTTTTAATCTTTTCCTTTGATCATGAAAAAACATGATTTCTTACCTCTTTTGCTTGTTTAAATGAAGTGACTCACAGCATTTTAAAATAAACTTAACTCAAACTTTAAGTTTAGTTATCTAACTTATACAGTTATCTTACTGGTATTTGAACCTTCATCGCTGTTTAAAGACCTCAAAATTATCGAAATGGACTGTGATGTGCTCATTTCTTTAATGTGTGTGGAAGTTACCATAGTCACCATCGTCATGTCCAGTCTCAGACAGTCCTCCAGCCCTGCCGCTGCTGGAAGTTTGCTGTCCTCTACGTCCCTGGAAATGCCCTGCCAGGACGTCGAGCCTCGTCCCACCTGTCGGCTCTGCCCTGGCTCTTCCCACCCTCGGCTCCTCGTCCAAGTGTCTCCTTCCCTCGTCCCATCGGCTATCCTTTGATCTGTCGTCGCTCTGCCTATGCCACGGACACCCGGGCCCTCCGCTGCGCTCTGTCTCTTCTCCCCTATGGCTACAGCGGGCTCTTTCCTCCCTTCTGGTTCGCCTCTGTCCTCTGTCTCACCAGCGTCGCCCAGTCCTCGGATTATCTGGCTCCACCTGCGATACTCATCGCCGAGACATCGCCTGGGTCTCCTTCACCAGCGATGTCTCTCGGCTCCTGCGGTCCCCTGTCTGCGTCTGTGGGTCTATCGTCTCTCGCGGTTGTCCACCAGCTGTCGTCAGCCACTACACCACCTTGGCTCATCCCTCCCTCAACTCCGCCGTGGGGTGTCGGCACTGGGGAGCACTGGGTCTGCGCCAACTCCACCGTCTACATAGGGGTCTCCTCTTCCCACCATCACCATCCCTTTACCTGGTCGTCCTGCCATCACCAGCCCTTCGCCACATCGTTTACATTAAATACATTATCGTTTACACTATGGTGTGTGTTTGTGTTCTTTGTATGGATCACTACCTGTGGGATTATTATAAGTAAAGTTACCCATTTGAATATTCATCTTCTGTGTCTACGTCTTCCTATCTGCAGGCACCCATTACACTATCGTTTTGTAATTTAATGGAAAGCTATTTTAATGGCACGCAGGATTTTGACTAGCCTTTGGAGCCATACTTTGGTGCCCTCGGTGTGCATACAGTTAGAGAAAACCATGTATTCAAATTTTCATTCTGATTGTTTTGTGGTGGAGTGGTAATAGCGCATGAAGACGAGGAAGATAGAATTTACAATATTTATTAAACTTTATATACTGATGAACTGATATAAACAGAAAATCAAACCAAAACACATCAGAAACAAACATGACCCTGGTTCAGTGTGCGACCCGCTTTGATTTGCAAATGTTGGAGGACATCATATACCTGATAAATACCAATGAATCATGACCTCCCATGTGTCAGCCTGTGTTACCCACCATGGTTGATCACCAGTCAAACCAGTAAAATATTCACCAGTAAAATATTGCCTTTTATATTTAGTATGGCACATTTGTTGCTGTTTTTTAACTAATGTATGATTGTCTATTTTTAAATATTACCCTATTTAACATTAAAATGAAAATGATTAGTGTCATGCTATCTGTTTTGATGTTTGTGTTTCAGAGTAATAAATGCAGGTAAAAGTGCTTTGAATGAGGACCAGGCATGCTGTGAGGTTCTACTGGTTAAGAAGAAACCTATAGGATCCTTGACACCCAGAAAGATGTCTACAAGTAGGAGGAGGTCGTCCCTTCCCAATAGTGTTGGCATGAGAATGTGGGAAAATGATGTAAGTGATTGTTTACTGTACCAGGTACACTGAATATCTATTGAACAACAATGTTTTTTCAAAAGAGCCTATTTTTATTATTAATAGGGTTGGGGAAAATCACACATATCTGTGATTAATATTTTCTTTTAACACATTAAAAATAACTGACGCAAAACACTCCTTAAGTAGCTATGCTAATGTCTTTTCCTCACATCCTTTGTCTAGAGTTATAGTATACAATCACACCATGCCATTTACCATATTCGCAAAGCAATAGTGATTGGCTGTCTAAGCATATGCCTATGGGATGAAAGTAGTCTAAATTATTAACAAATGCATGCCTAATTATCCATAAATTTTATATTTGTTACAAGGTGGGACGAGGCTCGGCTATTTAAAACAAAATGCCTTTTAACTTTTCTGCGAATTTCGGAATTAATTTACAGAGATTTGTACAATAGAGGCATGTTGGTATGGTAACACTACAATACAAAGGCATTAATTTGCATTAATTCATGCTTAACTAATATTCTTGAGTTAATGTATGACTCATGAATAAATAAATCATTCATTAATGATTGCCGCATCAGCAACTAATAAAGGGTTTATCTTAATAATAGATTGAGTTATATATGAATTGCTATTAATTACAATATCCTTAATGTTAACACTTTACTTGTTGAGTCTCCTGACTAATAAGTCTTTATTAAGTAACGTGGTTTTGACATCCACACTAAGCCACGGATTTCAGCCTCCAGCTGTCAACAACTGGAATGCCACTGTACCAGATGAAACTTGTGCATGTTACCTAATGCCTTGTTCATGGAACAGGAATATTTCTGGTTGATGCATGAGGTCTAGGATTCAAAGGTGGGACAGTAAGAACATGCAGCAGGGTGCGCACTACTATTTCCTAACACTGTGTCTACACAGGATGCGAGCGCCACAACACAACAAGGGAGAATATAATATGAAGGTTTTTTGGCATGCCTGTTCACTTTAGACACTGGTATACGAAATTTGTGTTAACATTAATTCCCGGCCAAAATTTTGTACAAATTTTTTTTCCAGCATGTACAAGAAAACAGATATCGTGGATGTTTTGCAGTGCAAAATCTGACTGAATATATATGAAAAAATAGCAGTAATTTTATTTTTTCGGTGTCATTTTATCTATAGCTCGTTAGATCTAGAATTATGAAGTGAAATAAAGTAGCGAATTAACGAGAGAGAGAGAGAGTGAGTAGCCTAATAATAAAGCTTGTTGGTTTAATTACAGCAAAGTTATCCCTCATTATCAATATCGGATATCTGATTTAAAACCACTTTCGAAGTGGCACAGATCAGATGCGAAAAAATCGAATCTTGTGCGGATTTTTGTGTTTACACGTGTGCAACAAATTCCGATCTGTGTCAGACATGAGTAAAAAATCTGATTTTTTTTTTTGTGCCAGTGTAAACGCAGCCCAAGTATCAGGTAGGCAAAGCAAGCATCAAAAATCTTGCAGCGAAAACACTTCCAAGAGCAATGGCAGCTAACTTGCTCCAGCGTTCACTCCGGAAGCAAATATCAATATATTTGTTCAATACACATAGATATAAAATGGATCAGAGAGCTTGAGTCTCTTTCTTCAAGATGAGGAAGTATCTGGTGTAAAAGCCATTGTGGCTTTGCTTGGATGGAATCACTATTATTGCTCTTTTGTTCAGCAGAGGAAATTTCTTCCTGGATACCATGCGTTAATTCTCCCTGTATCTGAAAATGTATTATCCCTCTTGACTTGTGGGGGGTGAAAGCGGCAAATTGCAATCTCTCCAATTGTATATTTGCAGTGTTCTGGCACAATCTTGTGGCTGAGTAGGGAACACATTTGTGGTCTGTATCACGTAGCTGACGGGTCCACCTGTGCTGTAGCAGGCGGATAGATAGTTATTTATGGGCCAGGCAGGTTTCTGCTCCGAAATTACAGTCTATCCTGCTGTATTTATGTGAGAGTCATGTTGGAATCTGACATCTGTCCACTTTTGATGGAAACGTCAGGTCTCCAGCCGTGCACCTCCAGTGCAAATGCGCGGCTACTAATGCTCCATGGGAGGCATGCGGAGAAGACCCTTCTTTTCCTTTCCCTCCACAGTGAGAGCAGATCTTCCTTGAATGAGTACTTTATCTGTAAATGTTCTGTCCTTAGGAGACCACTTCTTGAAAGGAGGTGTCTTACTGCCTGTTTTTACTGTCTTTTACCCTCATAGCTTGACTTCCACTACCACAGTCAGCCACAGAATAATTAGTTTCTCTGCAGTGCGTTTGCACACATCTTGCAGATCAACACTACGAAGCATGAGGGGATCCTGGTCCGACAGCTTGGTGTGCTAGTCTGCAACGAAGGCTATTCATAGTGAAGTGCATGCAGTGCTCACAGGCATGCATGAAAGAGAATTTATAAATGTAGTGGGTTATCAGGGAAACGAAGGAGAGGAGGGTCCGTGAAAGAAAGGTCATACTTTATTCAGCATCACACACACAAGGATGTCTGCCTATCCGATGGCTTAATATCCTTCTCTCCTACTGCAGACTTAGCTAAACCACACCTCCCTCACCACAGTATATCATATAGTTTTCTACTTCAGGGTTTATTAACGTAATGGAGATAAATAAAAGCAGCACAAAACTGCCTGCACAGACACAGACCAACGCCACATTATCGCCTTTTTGACCCACCCACTGGTTACTTCTATTGGCTAATTAATAAGTGATCAGTGATATAAGAATGTTTTTTGTCACAAAAATGTTTATTGTTGTTCATATATCTGTAAATCAAGACAGTGATTATAAACGCATTCTTCTAGGTAGCATTGATTTCAATTTGGATTAAATAAAGCAGGCAAGGAGCACTCCTTTTATAATCACCCAGATGTCTATGAAGGTAAATCAGTAGCTAAACTCGAGAGCACGTAGATGTGAATTTGAGAACTTGTACAATAAATATTCGTACTTGTATGTGAACATTTACACTCACAGCTCCGATGTGAAAACCTGTAAAATAAAAATCTGAACTTGAACGCTGAGATTTGCACTCGCAGACAATAGTCACAAACCTGTATTTTGAATCTGAAGCTGCAGACAAGTAGTCACAAATGTGTAAAATGCCATTCACAAAGATACAACGACAGACACAAACTTGTAATACAAATCTGCACTTCTTCTAACATTCAAATTCGCAGTACAACCTCAAATTGGCACTTGCAACTTCTCAAATCTGTCACTGCAAGTTCAAATTTCGCGCCTTGACTTTTGCTACTCTTTTCGCGATATATGAGGTGCAAAACTGATTTGTGCACTTGTAACTCAGTGGCGGTGAGAGCGGAAGGGGGGCGGGAGCGGGGGTGTTTGAAGGAGCCGTTTTATTGGTTGGCGCCTAGCCACTGAAATGGGACTTCTATTGTATGCGATGATGTCACGAAACCCGCCTCCTCGTGGATGTTCTGAAACGCTAACATGGCTTAATGCAATTAGACTGATTTAAAAGACATAAATGATATTATCAAACTTAGTGATATTAACACCATACTAATAATGCATACTACAGAAAAGCAGATGAGCACAGAATATGACGAAAGAAAGCAAATTTGTGTTCAGTGCAAATAAACCAGCTGCCTGTGTTTAATTAATAATGTATAACGAATTTTTTATATACATATATATATATATATATATATATATATATATATATATATATATATATATAACTGTTGGTCCATTAAGCCTCATTAAGCGTTTTCTTGGTTTTCTATGAGAGGAAAATGCTTAACGTACAATTAAACGAGTTGCGTTCATTTTCTGCTCAATTGCTTTTCTGTATGCTTTATTTATGGTGTTTCCTGAGTTTGGTCTTTTAATACCACTGTCTTAAGTTAACGTGTTGCGTTCATATTCTGTGCTCATCTGCTTTTCTGTAGTATGCATTATTGTGTTTACTAAGTTTGATAATATAATTTATGTCTTTTAAATTAGTCTAATGCATTAAGCCATGTTAGCGTTTCAGAACATCCACGAGGAGGCGGGTTTCGTGACATCATCTCGTACAATAGAAGTCCCATTTCATTGGCTAGGCGCCAACCAATAAAACGGCTCCTTCGAACACCCCCGCTCCTGCCCCCCTTCCGCTCTCACGTCACCGCCACTGAGTTACAAGTGCACAAATCAGTTTTGCACCTCATATATCGCGAAAAGAGTAGCAAAAGTCAAGGTGCGAAATTTGAACTTGCAGTGACAGATTTGAGAAGTTGCAAGTGCCAATTTGAGGTTGTACTGCGAATTTGAATGTTAGAAGAAGTACAAATTTGTATTACAAGTTTGTGTCTGTCGTTGTATCTTTGTGAATGGCATTTTACACATTTGTGACTACTTGTCTGCAGCTTCAGATTCAAAATACAGGTTTGTGACTATTGTCTGCGAGTGCAAATCTCAGCGTTCAAGTTCAGATTTTTATTTTACAGGTTTTCACATCGGAGCTGTGAGTGTAAATGTTCACATACAAGTACGAATATTTATTGTACAAGTTCTCAAATTCACATCTACGTGCTCTCGAGTTTAGCTACTGATTTACCTTCATAGATGTCAATTACCAAGCGTGCCGTGCATGTGTTTATCAGTGACTGAGTTCTGCATTCTAGCCAAAACTTACAGTTATAATCAATGTCTACACTGCACAATGTATAGAAAGCATTCGTGAGAAGTCACGTTGCAATGAAATCAGAAGAGTTCCACTTATTTTAATCTTTATATGCAAAGATTTCAGGCTTAAAATCAGGGTAGAAAATCCATCCAACATTGTGGCTCAGCCTTTGCTGGATGTACAGTGATATACACTCACCTAAAGGATTATTAGGAACACCTGTTCAATTTCTCATTAATGAAATTATCTAATCAACCAATCACATGGCAGTTGCTTCAATGCATTTAGGGGTGTGGTCCTGGTCAAGACAATCTCCTGAACTCCAAACTGAATGTCAGAATGGGAAAGAAAGGTGATTTACGCAATTTTGAGCGTGGCATGGTTGTTTGTGCCAGACGGGCCGGTCTGAGTATTTCACAATCTGCTTAGTTACTGGGATTTTCACGCACAACCATTTCTAGGGTTTACAAAGAATGGTGAATGCCTTGTTGATGCTAGAGGTCAGAGGAGAATGGGCCGACTGATTCAAGCTGATAGAAGAGCAACTTTGACTGAAATAACCACTTGTTACAACCGAGGTATGCAGCAAAGTATTTGTGAAGCCACAACACTCACAACCTTGAGGCGGATGGGCTACAACAGCAAAAGACCCCACCGGGTACCACTCATTTCCACTACAAATAGGAAAAAGAGGCTACAATTTGCAAGAGCTCACCAAAATTGGACAGTTGAAGACTGGAAAAATGTTGCCTGGTCTGATGAGTCTCGATTTCTGTTGAAACATTCAGATGGTAGAGTCAGAATTTGGCGTAAACAGAATGAGAACATGGATCCATCATGCCTTTTTACCACTGTGCAGGCTGGTGGTGGTGGTGTAATGGTGTGGGGGATGTTTTATTGGCACACTTTAGGCCCCTTAGTGCCAATTGGGCATCGTTTAAATGCCACGGCCTACCTGAGCATTGTTTCTGACCATGTCCATCCCTTTATGGCCACCATGTACCCATCCTCTGATGGCTACTTCCAGCAGGATAATGCACCATGTCACAAAGCTCGAATCATTTCAAATTGGTTTCTTGAACATGACAATGAGTTCACTGTACTAAAATGGCCCCCACAGTCACCAGATCTCAACCCAATAGAGCATCTTTGGGATGTGGTGGAATGGGAGCTTCGTGCCCTGGATGTGCATCCCACAAATCTCCATCAACTGCAAGATGCTATCCTATCAATATGGGCCAACATTTCTAAAGAATGCTTTCAGCACCTTGTTGAATCAATGCCACGTAGAATTAAGGCAGTTCTGAAGGCGAAAGGGGGTCAAACACAGTATTAGTATGGTGTTCCTAATAATCCTTTAGGTGAGTGTACATCCACACATTAACACCTAGGATATCTGCCAGGCCAGCCTTCTAAAGCTGGCAAGAAGCAGGCATGCTGATGGCACAGTTTACCGAACACGTCTGGCTGACGATGAATATGGTGATGTGAGATGAGACTCACCATTAAACGGCGGTGACCAGTTTCACGGTAGTTCAAGAGAGTTGCTGTTCATTTACCTTTTCATGACCATAAAACTTTTTGGTCAAATTTTTTTTGCGCCACTGCTGACCCAATGAGCATTTCATTGTCCGATGTTCACGCCTTAATTTGGAATATTCTATAGGTTTGCATCCTTCTCATATGCATTTCATAATTTTCTGAGAGAGAGAGGGTGTGTGTGTGTGTGTGTGTGTGTGTGTGTGTGTGTGTGTGTGTGTATGTGTGTGTGTGTGTGTGTGTGTGTCAACAATTACATAACTTATAAGTGGCTATATACAATCGTAATAGTAATTATTAAGATTGATGAGGTTTGGAATTTTTAAAAATGCTTGGAAGAAACACATGATCAGAATATCGATTTGCCGAATACTTATACAAACACTGTAATGTCAAGCCTAAATTAGTTCCAGGAACTGTACAGACAATTCATACAGTGGAACAAGGCTTTGATAAAATGAAAAGATCCAGGCCTTGACCTGAAAGGCTGAGCCACAATCAAAGCCATTGTAAAATACTATATAAATAAACACACACCCATCACCTCATTACATCAATAATTAATTAAATTTTTGTTACCGTTTATTTAATGAAACCTTGCAAAGAATATGTTGTAACCATTTGGTTAAATCTGTAAATCCCATGAAACCATGGTTTACAGTGATTTTTTGAATAGCAAAAGGGATTTTAGGCCTCCTTGTGCCTAACAACGCCCCTCATCTGTTCTAGAATTACTGTAAACTACGGCATATTGGGGCTTGTTGCTTTAATATGTCATAAGGAAATTACTGAGCAACTGCTGTTTGCTGTGTTGTGTTATGTAGGCTTGTATTTGTCCACAAGACTCTCCAGAAGGGCTGATCTTCCATTACTGGGCACTGTTTGATGGTCATGCTGGTTCAGGAGCGGCAGTGGTGGCTTCCAGACTTCTACACCGACACATTGTGGAGCAGCTCCAAGGTGTACTGGAGGTCCTATCTAACCTGGCGTCTCTTCCGCCAACTGTATTTTGTGATGAACCCAACCACCAGCCATTCCCATGCACACATCGGGCCCTCAACCGGGCTGCATCCCTACATGGGGCCACTGGTGCACCTGGCTCCCCCTGCACCCCTCCAACACGGTTCTTCGTGGAGAAGAAGATCCATCATGAAAGCCTTGTAATTGGTGCCTTGGAGAATGCCTTCAAGATTATGGTGAGGTCCAATTCTGTGTAGTTTCCACAAAATTACTGGATGTGGTTTGAGTTACATGAGTTAGACAGAACATAGTTTTTCAGTTCCAATGTTACTAGACAGGAGAGAATGAAATAGCTGTATAAAAATAATTTTAATGTAGAATGTCTATTTATACCAGGTGCAAATAGCCGCCTTGTTGGCAGAAGCACCATGACTAAGCCAGACAAAATTACAAAATAATCTGATAACAGGAGCAGTGGCATGGTGGTGCCTTTTTCCGAACTCAGTGTTTAACACGTATTTAGTAGGCCTATAATTAGGGCCCAAGCCCAAAGGGCGAAGGCCCTATTGTTTTCCTTAGGATTATTTATTATTTAGGGCCCAAGCCCAAAGGGCGAAGGCCCTATTGTTTTCCTTAGGATTATTTATTATTATTATTATTATTATTATTCTTATTATTTTTCTGCTACCTTTTGGACACTTTTGGAGGCCTTAACATGCTCAAAAACTCCTGAAACTTTGCACACATGTCAGAACCCGCGGCCATCAGGGCCGGGCTGAAGATGGTACCCGGGCGTGGCAGGGGGGCTCGACAGCGCCCCCTGGAACGGGGTCCGAAAACATGGTCCATAAATCAAACACGCTTGCATGTAATAATTTGAAACTTGGTACACATGTAGATCTCCTCGTTTCATATATACTTCACACTCTTACTTTTTACCCCAGCCCAACAGGAAGTCGGCTATTTAGGGTTGTTGGTAAAACACACGCAATGGAATGTGAAATACTCCTCCTAGAGAATTCAAACAAACGGCACGAAACTCGGTCAGCATGAAGTCAAGACATTGAGGATGAAAGTTTGCGAGGGGATTTTTGATATCTCGAACGGTTTGGCCGTGGCGAGGAAACAAAATTATGGCGAGAAACGTGAAACAGGAAGTGTGTCATAACTACTGCATACATTAACTGATCTTGATGAAACTTCAACAGTGTGTTCGTTGTAAGAGCCCGATCACATGGATGTGACTATTGTGAGTCAAAGTTATAGCGCCACCAACTGGCAGCAGGAAGTGTGTCACTTCCTAAATGCTTTGAAATCACCCTCTTATTTTTACCCGATTTGCTTCAAACTTTATGTGTATAATGTAAACACACGGCAGATGTAGACCTGTGAAAGGATTATTGATATCTTAGATACTGTTGCCGTGGCAACACATCAAACTTTAATATTCTTGTTTGATGCTTTTGAGACTCTTAGCATGCTTGAAATTGCATGAAACTCGACAGACACAGGTATGCATATGGTTCAGATCAAGCCGGACAACTTTCTAATTAACTGTCATTAGCTCAGACCAAGAGGAAGTTAGATATTTTGGTTTGAATGTGGATGTTTCTGAGAATTTTCTCTCCCTCTCCCTCTGACAGAGAGAATGCACCCTGCCATTCGTGTGTGTCTGTGTCTGTGTCTGTGTGGGGAGGGGGGGAGGGGCTCTTTTAGTTTAAACACAAAATTATACATAGGGCCATACTGCCCTCTTGTGTCCAAAATTATATTTATATATACATTATACATATATTTGGTATGTGACTGAGGACCGAGAGCTTTTAAATACGGGACATTGATAATGGCCACGTGCAGAGCGCTCGAGGGAATTCCTATGGAAGTAGGAATGAACTAAAAAATGTTCGCTCTGTTCTGCTCGCTCGTCGCCATGGACGCGCACCATTATGAATGCCAGTGCAGCCGCATACTTTTTAGTGTCACTTTAAAATTAGTGCAATAACGGGGCCGATTGCTTGAATTGTGAGTTCAATAGTCTATTATTTTTCACGGAAAACACAACAACAAAAGAGTACAATGATAGATTCGCTTAAATAGGGGCTTTTACATAAAATAGCCTATTCCGTCATCATCTTTTCAGTCAGCTCTTCACTCTCGTGATTAATGAAATTTGACTCCTGTTGCTGATATTTGCTGCAACTTTCGTTCCGCTCACAATTTAGTAAGCAAACACGCTTCAAATGTGTTTTTATTTTATTTTTGTGTATATATATGTGTGTGTATATATATGTGTGTATATATATATATATATAGCTTATGTTTCAAATATGAGTTAATTAACAATCGTTGGAAAGAATGATACTTTTAATATCACTAAACCGTCATTAGGTGTCGCCAGGCGACCGTCTTAATGAGCGAGTCATTGATTCATTCGTTCAAACGATTCGTTCGAACGGCTGAGTCATTCATGAATGAGACAGATTATGGATTGGTCGTTGAATCTTTGAGTCAACCGATTCGTTCAAAATGCTGAATCATTCAGTAATGAGAACGCGTTGCTGTGAGATGCTCGATGGTTCTGCTGTGATCTTTGTTTAACTATTTTCGCTGCTGAAACAGAAAAAAAAGTCAATATTGCATCTAAAATGTAAGTGATTTGACGTGTGTGTGTGTGTGTGTGTGTGTGTGTGTGTGTGTGTGTGTGTGTGTGTGTGTGTGTGTGTGTGTGTGTGTGTGTGTGTGTGATTGTGTCTGTTACAGTGATTGTTTAACCCTTGTTAAAGTTTAGGCCTTGTCTTTTTGGATATATATCTTTTTATATAAAAAAAAATAGCATACAACCCATGTATTTTAAATGTATTGTTTGCTTTAAATTACATTGAGATTTGTATGTTTGGTAATTGAACCTGAATGAATTATAAATGAATGTGCTATATTTCAGATCATATATTTGTTTTCCTTAAAATTTCAACTAACACTAACTTTATTCTCATCTGAATGATAGATTATTTATTTCTGTATAAAATAAAAACACATTTGATTTTTCTTTTTTAATCAATGTAGAATGTGTAACTGAAAAAATAAACAGATTAGGGCTCTGATCGAGGACAATAATGTCAAAAAAAGAATCAGGGCATGTCTCATATCTTTCTAAAATGTAATTATACACCATTTATTTTTATATAAAATTATACAAATATTAGAACTAAACCCATTTTATTCCTTTTTTTCAATTTAAGAATTATTTTTAAGTTTAAAAACAGCCAGAATGGTTGTTTAGTCAAAAATAATAATAATCCAAATCATATATAGTGCTATACTGCCCTCTTGTGTTCAAAATCAGGTAGGCCTATTGAATTTATATATATTTATATATTAGGGATGTTACTATGGGAATATTTTCCCACCGGTTAATCAACGTGTGATTGTGTAAACAAATTGTGTAAACCTCCCGCTGGGGGGTTTAAAAACACTAACTTGAAAGCGAAAGTATAATATGGACGTCCGCACGGACATTGAAATGGTGGCGCTCGAATGAATTCCTATGGAAGTAGAAATTAACTAAACGTTCGCTCTGTTCTGCTCGCTCGTCGCCATGGACGCGCACCATTATGAATGCCAGTGCAGCCGCATACTTTTTAGTGTCACTAAAATTAGTGCAATTTCGGGGGCCGATTGCTTGAATTCTGAGTTCAATAGTCTATTATTTTTCACGGAAAACACAACAATAAAAGAGTACAATGACAGATTCGCTTAAATAGGCGTTTTTACATAAAATAGCCTATTCCGTCATCATCTTTTCAGTCAGCTCTTCACTCTCGTGATTAATGAAATTTGACTCCTGTTGCTGATATTTGCTGCAACTTTCGTTCAGCTCACAATTTAGTAAGAAAACACGTTTCAAATGTGTTTTTATTTTATTTTTGTGTATGTGTGTGTATATGTATGTATATATATAAATATAGCTTATGTTTCAAATATGAGTTAATTAACAATTGTTGGAAAGAATGATACTTTTAAACATAACACTAAACCGTCATTAGGTGTCGCCAGGCGACCGTCTTAATGAGCGAGTCATTGATTCATTCGTTTGAACGACTGAGTCATTCATGAATGAGATAGATGTTTATGGATTGATTGGTCATTGAATCTTTGAGTCAACCGATTCGTTCAAAATGCTGAATCATTCAGTAATGAGAACGCGTTGCTGTGAGATGCGCGATGGTTCTGCTGTGATCTTTGTTTAACTATTTTCGCTGCTGAAACAGAAAAAAAGTCAATATTGCATGTAAAATGTAAGTGATTTGACTTGTGTGTGTGTGTGTGTGTGATTGTGTGTGTGATTGTGTCTGTTACAGTGATAAGAGTTTAACCCTTGTTAAACTTTAGGCCTTGTCTTTTTGGATATATATCTTTTTATATATTAAAAAATAGTCATACAACCCATATATTTTAAATGTATTGTTTGCTTTAAATTACATTAAGATTGTATGTTTGGTAATTGAACCTGAATGAATTTTAAATGAATGTGCTATATTTCAGATCATATATTTGTTTTCCTTAAAATTTGAACTAACACTAACTTTATTCTCATCTGGATGATAGATTATTTATTTCTGTATAAAATAAAAACACATTTGATTTTTCTTTTTTAATCAATGTAGAATGTGTAACTGAAAAAATAAACAGATTAGGGCTCTTTTTGATGACAAGAAATGAAAACCAATGCGATATGATGAATGTCCAAAAGATGGCTCCCACAGACTGTTTTTAAATAGGATTGTTTGATATTTTTTGCTTTTAAACTGTGTGTGTGTGTGTGTGTAAGAGATTTTGGTTGGGTGACAGTTGTAGTTTACAGTTTGACAAGAGTTTATAGTTTGACAAAAGCACAATGTTGTGTTTTATTGCGAGTGTACACAAATATAAGTAAACACTTTGCAGTTTGAATAATGTCCTGTATGAACAAAAGGACGGAGTATGTCTTTATGTCTACATTGTTCAATTACGCCACACACACACACACACACACACACACACACACACACACACACACACACACACACACACAAACACTATTTTTCTAATCAGATCAGGCAAGTAATATTCTGTCTTGTCTCTTAAAAAAACAATATATATATATGTATATATATATATATATATATATATATATGTGTGTGTGTGTGTGTGTGTGTGTATATATATAAATATAGCTGCGAGCAGCGATGAAAGGGCC